CCCCCCCCACCCCGCCGCTTTGTAAACAGTGTTAGATTTTTAAAGCTTGTTCTTGCTATCTTGCTAGCAAATAGGCCTACACATTCTTTCATGGGATCACTCAAAATGAATACTTCTATAAAATATTTAAATATGCATCAGCACATGATAGTTTGGTGAGAGAAATTTAAATACTGTACAATTTCTAATTGACTCCTTTTACTGTAGGTTTGTGACCCGTGCTCCAATAGAAATCCACCAAAAGCTATGTTCTCACACGGCAGCTAACGGTTAGCAGGATCCGGATCCTGCTAACCGTTAGCTGCCGTGCGTCCATATCCTGCTAACCGTTAGCTGCCGTGCGTCCATATCCTGCTTAAACCGTTAGCTGCCGTGCGTCCATGCGAGAAAATCCCGACCCGGATACCAACAATATGATGATCAAATCACTGGCCAATAAGAAACTGGAAATTGTAAACGCGTACGTGTGATTGGTTGATGATAGAAATGCCCTCAACTTGCTAACCGATAGCACTTGCTAACCGTTAGCGTATCCGGATACCGCTACGGTTAGCGCTAAAGGTTAGTCTTACGGTAATGCTTTATAAATATATAATTTTAAACCGTAAATCAGAGCAATCTATGAGTGCGATTGATAGCAGGAAGTCCCGGGTTCAAATCCTGGTTGAGGCAATTTTTTCGCACTCGCAGATCCTTCTTTACCGTTTACAATTTAATCGAATAACAAACACTTGTCATTTCGTTTCGTTCCTTGGCACGTACTGGCCAATGACATTTATTTAATCTTTTATATAAGGCCTTCGGCCCAAATAAAATATAATTGCTATTTACAGAGGGAATGATCACTTCTACGTTTAAATGAGTGATAAAGAAATTTACATAAACAGCTTATTGTATTGATATCAGTAGTGGACATTAATTGAGTAAACTTAACTTTGGATGGATTAACAATAAAATACTTAAATATATAATGTTTACGAATATCAGTGTAACAAGGGCAAATTAAAGTAAAATGGTACTCATCTTCAACTAAATTTAATGTACAATGTTTGCATAATCTACGGTATCTTTTTTATCAATTTTTGACCATCTACCAGTTTAAATTTCTAATTCAAGGACTCCTAAAAGCAACTTAGTGAGAATACGTCTATAATTAAAATTTTGTATATGCATTAGGTATAGTTCGAATATCACATACGGTATATATCTCGCCAATAATCTTCTTTGACGTTCAAAATTTATATATCATTATAGCATTACTGCAAGCCTGATTAGAGTTGACATCTACATCGTATTATAATTTATTATAAATAAAGTATCTTTCGAAGATCCGTTTTGTCGTTAAATGCTTATAAGAAGAGGGTTTTGATCTCTTATATTTGCCGTACAATAAGAACCTGTGCTGTTCAACAATGCAAGCTCAAAATTAGTGTGGAAAATGAGCTGCTTTAGTCGGACCTGAATTCCCAACGAAGCCTTAATGGTTGGTTCGAATCCCGGTTGGGGCAGCTTTTTTCATTCGCAGATTCCTCTTCTTTATTTAACGTTTAAAATGTATACACCATTTACAATGGTGTATTTGCTAAATGTGTATAGCCACATATTCCTAATAATATTGATTATAAATTCTGTAATCTCTTAGTTATCTTCAGTATATTCTAAAGAAAAGTATATTAAGCCTCAATGTTGGTTAAGCGTTCTGCATGGACAGCAGAAGGTCCCGGGTCGAATCCCGGTTGGGGAAGCTTTTTTTTTCATTCGAAGATTCCTCTTCTTTAACGTTTAAAATGTATGTACCATTATAGCATTACCACAAGTCATCGTATTATGATTTTTATATGTATAATGTATATGTGTACTGTATAAATATTATGGACGTTTTATAATGAAATATAAATGTCTGTATTAGCTAAATGTGTATAGTCACACATTCATAACAATAATGATTATAAATTATGTAATGTCTTAGTTATCTTCATTATATATTCTAAAGAAAAGTATATTATTACATATTATGTAAAATAGAAATCACGTTACGTTGGGACCTGAGAATATTGGGTAGTCTTATAACTTAGTCTCCAATGGCGGGGTGGCAACATGTCCGGTGGCAACGGGCCCGGGTGGCAACGGGCCGAAACCCAGTTTTCATCGGGGGTGGGGGGGTGCGAACATTATATCAATGGCGTAACGAAGGGGCCGAAGGCCCTAATCAAGTTGCTGGGTGCCAGGGGGCCGGGGCCGTGAAGGGCTCCGGTGGGGGTTGGGGCCAATGAGTCTTTTTTGGCACATTTGAGTTCTTAATCTTGTATCGTGATTTGACAAAGTATTATTAATATATTGTAATTAAGATAATACATTGTTCGACTACTACTTTCATTACGTGCCATTTCTATAAACGATAATAATGGTAATATAAACTCAAAGATTTTTCCTTTACGACAGAGAACCATTGTGTAGCACTGACTCTCTCTGCAAACGGTACTAGTGCGCGCATTTACCTGGATGACGCCCAAGTAGCACGCAGTTAGCACACGCGTGCCATCACTGTTTTGTAAACATTGGATTACTAATAATGAATGACAATTCTTGTCTGTATTAATTAATCTATAAGCTATTATAGATATATTATTATTATATATTAATATAAATTAATCTATTAACCACAATTTAAAAAATAATGATGTATATTTAAATAATCAACATTTTATAACAACGACCTTGTACAATACCATTCAACTCCCTGATGGAAGCCTAGCTAAATTAAATTTAAGTTATGATATATATGAATTAGTAAGGTAATTATTACAAAATAAATATTTACTAGAAATTATAGTATAATAATAAGAGCGTGATAACGCTTCTATTGTTTATTGCATGTTTGTCTGCTGTGTAAATAGTGTATAGTATACTCCAGTGTAGTCCGTTTTAAAGTCCAATCGACTGGCACAAAAAGTGTTCATGCAGTCCGCCCAATAGTACGAACCATGAATCTTTTGCTCATAGTCATAAGCAGGAACAGTAAAGAACTTTGTAGTTAATTAATGAACTGCCTATGGATGCGCGTAATGAGGAGGGCGCATTAGCACTGGCACGTAAACAATAAGGAAGAACACACTGTTTTGTTTTTTCGAATTACTGAGGCCTAGTGTTTTATAATTCATATTTGCGATTTTTATTTTGTTTGACGACTAAGCATATCATAGGCTTATAATTATGTGTGCTTTTTTGTTGGCCTAACCGAGTTCTACTTGCTGCCCTGCAAATTTTCCATTGTAGTACTGCCTTTTATTGGGGTGGGGGTGCAGCCGTACCCCCGCATCCCTAGCCTACACCCCTGCGGCTGTGGTAAAGATTAAAGATTGTTAGTTTGGTCCTTTGAAAAAGTGATCTAAATTGAAAGGAGTTTCGAAATTAGAGGGGGGGGGGGCCTCAAAATGGAGAGAAAGCTGTATCTTTTTCTTGCATTTATTCATATAGCACCATTTTCACAGAATGTAGGCCTAAATTTACGAATAGTTTGTCCATATACTGTACAAAACTTATTAAAGTACCGGTAACTACCTTACATTTGTTAAATTTGGAGGTGTTTGCAACAATTTATTTTGGTATAGATGAATGAAGAATTATTATTAATAAAGTAGAATTATTGTTAAAAGATATACATTTTGTCGTTCATAAACGTTATCGTATAGTTACGATAGGCTTTTAGCCTTAAGAGTTGACATTTTACATTTATAAAAAGAATTTCTTTTACAGCACGTAACTCACCCATGGACCTTTACGAAGTGTCAATCAAACTTAAGTACCGACCAATCAGAACATTGCTATATAAATAATAATTTGCTTATCCAAATAACGCTATTTTTTACCAATCCCAAATATTGTGGTCTAAAAGCACATTTGGGACCAAATTAAGCCATAAAAACTCTCCCATTGAACCCTAACAGGGATTTTTTTCCGGGCCGTCGACCGAGGCTTCATCGACCACTCCATCGGACACGTCGGACCCCGAATGAGTGACACAACACTGTAAAATGTCTAAAACCTTATTACAAGACCAAAATAATTATTTCTGTATATTTTGAAACACAAACACATTAAACAAACATTGGTCTGACTAATACACGGCTGGCGCAATAACCAAAATTTTATAAATGTTTTTATTTAAAAAATATTTTGTTTTAATGTTTTTACGGGAAACGTTTGATTTTTAAAGTATTTAATTTTAACACATAAGACTTTCTGTATATTTTTTTGGAGGCCCAGATGCGTTCCGACGACCCTCAAAAATCCACTAACGACCCAAACTTGGTCACGACCCATGGGTTGCCGATCGTAGTGTTAAATCGTTGACAAGGCCATTACACTTTCAACGTTTTCATACTTCACATCTAATGACTTTCTGTACAAACATGAATATGGTTTCAAACTTCATGAGATTGTACGTAACTTTGAAAGTTCTGTGCTGTTTCTGTGTTTTGGTGTGTTTGTTGTGATTGTAGATAGTTTAGGAGGTGAGGCAGTTTCCCGAGAGTGGGCAATCTTCTTTAATCCGACAGTTGCGTAGTTTGGTCGGTGCTTGTTGTTTGGAATCCGCTGTCCCTTAGTGCTTTTTGGTAGTCGGGGGCGGCCTTTCGAAAAGTTGCTTCTGAATCGGAGTTGCTTGATATTCCTTAATTAATTGAAGAGGGGATTTGCTTTAAGATGTATGGAGGGTGGTTTGATCTTTTGTCCACGTATAGTAATTTGTTGTCTGGTTTGGTGAATGGAGCATAGGATCCGTTAGTCAGGTTGAATGTGACATCAAGGAAGTTTGTGATTTTTAAGTTTGCTTGTATAGTGATGCGGAGGTCAAAGGAGTGAAAGATGGATGTGATTTCTTTCTTCATCTTGTCACATAGTCTTGGAGATGTGCTG